TTTTTTTTTTTTAATGGAGGCTCGCCCGGGCCACGGGCCGGCCAGGGGCTCGAGTCGACTCCCCAAAGTGGGGCTCGGCTCGAGCCTGGGCGTGGTTCCACCGAGCCAGAGCCTGGCCCGGCTCGAGCTTTTTCCGAGCCGAGCGCGGGCCGTCCGAGCCTCCGAGCTTTTTTGCCACCGCTAGTTTGGTCCGGTCCAATCCACATCCTTTTTTACTTTTTTATTTTGTTATGATGTTTGTCTTTTTATTATTTGAGCATAGAGCAACCAATAGTTAATAATTGTGTTTAAATTTTAATTATTGAGTTGAAAATTTATATATAAAAAAATCATCGTATTTGTATGATTATGCAATCAAAATAATACTAGCAAGTAATAAAACGTTGAATAGAATTTTAGCAATCGTTTCTATATTTAGCAAGGGTGACTGATATTGATATAGAAATGGACGTACAAAATGCAATTGTTATCATTGACCAAGTGGACTATAAAAAGAATGTAGAATTTTTATTTTTCTTTGAAGGGGTGTAATTGATTTAAAAAATCATTTGTCTTTTAATTTTATTTATTTATTTGATTTGATTTCACATAACAATAATATAATAATAAAATGTGAAAATTATGAATTTTTAAATTTTAATCCTTTTTCATTAGATTTTATGATCGATCTTTTTATTTGCAAAGATGCCATAGCTTAAAGAAAATTAAATTTTGCTAAAGAAGCCAAGAAATCTGAGAAGAAAAAGATTGATTTTAGATATGTTTTTCCCTTCAATTTTTGTAACATGGATTATCCGACGATTGTAAGTGTAAAAATATACAAAGGCTAGTGCTAACGATTCTAGGTTCGATTCATAAATACGCAGGCACTATAAATTGCTCAATAGTTTTTATGTTTTACATCGAATACGATATTCCTAATATTTTGTAATTATGATATAAAATATCAACATGATCAACCGTTTCCACATTGGAAAACGAATTATTTCCTCTATTACTATCAACAGTAAAAAATAAAAGATTCCTAGTCGAAATTAATATGCTAATTAATGAACAAATTGATAAATACTTTAGAATAAAAATGTGACGAAAAAAAATTGAAAACATAAATACACGATGCACGGAGATAGAAGACTTTTAGTGCAATTAAAAAAGTAGTGTATCTATAATACAAGGGGCAAGCGAAAGGCCACTGCTACCATTAGATCTTATCGTGCATTAAACCTGATCTAGTAGATTCAAATAAAACACGCAACCTGCAAAATATGCGTATCCCATTAACGTCGATGAATTGAAGTCCTCTGTGAAGTGAACAACTCTGGCAGCTCAAATCATTTCAAACAAAGTACACTCACTGTGAGGGGGAGGGGGAGGGGGAGAGGGAGAATGCACTAATATAATAGGATTCGTTACAGTTCAAAGTATCTTGGAAGCAAAACTCCTAGTGTCAAAAAGAGCAAAAAGAAAACAAAATAAATCCTTGTAACTATTCCATCATCCAAGAATCCAAAATAATTTGCATGACACACATGAGAAAGCTTAACATGCATCAATAAGAATATACAAAGTATATAATGGACCCACATCATCTTCACCACCACACAACATTGTTTATCTACCACAATGATAATAGCGATGATTCGTCAAAGACATCTACGATTAAAGAATGACTACATGGGTATATGCATATGGATGCAAGCTTCTGTATGTACATATACACAGAACCCTGTTAATACCAATGAAAGAAAACTTCTACCTAACAAAATTGTACCCAGGCCTCCAGAGAAAGACATTCAAGTGGGTGATTCGGCCAACAAAAGAGTGTGCCACCAACCACATGCAACGTTTCTTGGTATGAATCCATCAATTGGAACTTGAGTAGGAATATTGCGATCAATCACATCTCCCAAACCGAGCTGGTTCAAGAAAAAATTACTTGTGGTTAAAAAAACATTTTTGGATAAAGAAGATGGCCTATGGCATATGCCCAGTCATAGTTTAGATTACTCAAGTGCATGAGAAGAACACATTTTAAACAACATAACAAGAAAATAAATAAGAAATATCTTGTGGTTGTTTTGATGTTTGATTCATGTAATCTGATCCAACAGTTTGAACACATACCTGACCATACTTGTTCCAGCCCCAGCAAAACATTTTGTCATCATCTTCGTAAAACAAAAGCAAGCAGACAGTTAGGGGAAAAGGACCCAACAAGAAAAACAGGACCAACTTCATACAAAATCAAAAGTTATCAATGGAAACAAATTTTTTGGGTATTCTAAATGACAGCTGTTCAACCAAAAAAAAAAAATGGAATAAAGCAACATAGTTTTTCAAATACTTTACCTTCTATACTGATTACTTAACTTTTGATTTAAAATGAGTTATGCAGCCCTTTTTGACTATATTTCTTGACCTCTTTGAACCCTTCTTTGTTCTAATGAATATTGCATCAACTTTTCTTATTTGGTTTTTCACAACAACGAATTCTTCTTCGTTCTAATCAATATGGCATCAACTTTTCTTAGTGTCCTCGTGTTGTTGGTTTTTCACAACCTATGATCAATGATAGAGTAGGAGAGGAAGAGTTCATTAGTTGGGCTAACCAAGAAATGGGCTAGATATTTCTCAATGTCATATTGGTATTTTTTTTTTTCACGACAATCTTAATGTGATCAATAATAGGGTAGCCTGGTAGGAGGGGCGAAAGCTCCTTGTTGGCCGAAACCATCTACAATGCTAGCTATTTCTCAAGGTGGGTATTGGTTTTACACAAATCACAACTGTCTCGATGTGTTCAATAATGGGGTAGAAGGGGATTCATTAATTGGCTGAAACTCTCTAGAACACCAGCAATGTCTTTAGTTCCTTCACTTGCTCCAGTAGCTAAATATACTGCACCATGAGGGTTACTTTTAGGTGCAATGTGTAAAAGAGGTCAAAATTTGACGACAATTCCTATTTATCTGCTTCATAGAGCCTTATCTCGGGGATTTTGAATAATGATTTTTGCGACGTTGGCCTACTTTAGTGCCATGTTGAATTACCTCATTTAAACTTGAGCTGTTGGAGTAGAGATGAACTTGCTTTATCTATAAATTTATCTTCAACGCTCGAAACTCTCTTCTTCTGACTTCCTATGAATCTTCTGTACTGACTTATCATATAACTTGTACTTATGTTTTCTACTATTAAAGAGAGCAGTAGACCTAATGCATCATGGAATGGTTGTTGTAGTATGCTGTATTAAAGATGTTGCAGGATCCAAATTTGTTTGTCACAGCGAATGGCATACCTTCGACTATAGCACTGTGATTGACATACCTGTGACTACAGCATTGTGACGAGCTCCACATGATACATTCTTTGCATTCGCATTCTCCAAACTTGGAGCATCCAGGAGTCGAGGCAATGTCTGATGGAGATTCGATAAAAGGATCAGACTAAGCCCCTGTTTGATGGCGGTGAAAAAAATGTTTTGAATAGTGATTTTTAGGAGAATGTGTGTTAAAAAGTAAGGAAAAGTTTTGGGTTTATGTGCATAATATTTTATCGTGTGAATGTATGGTTAAAAATGAATATGTAGAAAAAAGAGTTTTCAAATAATGGTTGTCAAACAGGGGCTAAGTAAATGAATTGAAATTACAAGCTATTGAGGACTAAAATATGGCAAGAATGACTTCAAAATCACGCGAAACAATAATTTTTAGTATTCTGTTAATTCAATAGAAACAATTCTGGTTCTGCATGCACAATGTCATATTTCAAGGTAATGCTTAGAAAACCTTCCTTGGACACAGCTCCAAGTATCACAGACACTTTTATTAAGATAACAAGGTACACCTGCACAATCTTCTGCATTCAGACAAAGCGAAGTTGGAGATGTACCTCAGCTTGATCAGCACCAGTTCCTAACTGACCAAACTGATTCCCGCCAAATGTGTATACACCACCATCAGCAGAAATGCAGACAGTATGCCAAAGCCCTGCAGCAACACCTTCTATCCTAATTCCAAGTAAGCAAGATACGCAAGTAGGACTTAGCTCATCATCTGTACTTCCTTGGCCACACTACATCACATAACCAAACCATTTATAGTTACAAATTCAAGCTTACACGAAAACATTGAAATAAACTATAGTAGAAGGATAGCTAGAAAAATTGAACAATAAAATACATTCTTTTTTGAACTATCAACATTTATCGTGTCATAGGTAGAAGTATACAAGTATTGGCTGCATATGTACTCTTCTACTATAAACCAAGGGAAGAAACTAAATGCGTATCCATCACATTTTCGGCACTTTTGTCATAATCCGTTACTCGTCTCAAGGTAAGAAGCTCTCTCTTTGGCCTTTTTTCTTTGGTTTGGCATGCAAGGTGGATCTGAATAACTTGCTTATGGGTGGTGGGAGAGGGGATGATGAATTTCTGATGCTGTTATAGTTCAAATTACTTTATGGAAACTATGATCTCCAGAAAATTGGGAAAGAATCTGTTACAATGGAGGTGAAGACGAAGACAAATTTGTTTCTTTTAGAAAAGTGATCGAGTGATTTGGAAATTGACTCTATCAATCACGTAGGCTCACATTCTCACTGCATCATGAGAAATTACCATGCAAAGATGCCTCTATGGGAACACCTCTATGGTTTTTTAAATTTTAATTTGCACCTCCACAGCATTATTTCTTCTTCGTTATGTCTTTTAATCATAGCCTTTGACCTCGCAGAAATGTTCGTGTTTCCCGTCTTCTGGTATCAATGACATCATTTGGACAGATAAAGATGTGGACAATTGATTTCTCACATAATTATTTTATTTCGGCTAAACAAAATTGTACCTAGTCACAGGATTGGTTTCGACTCTAAGAAATGCATGCAACCTAAAAATGTCAGTATTTTATTTTTTTTGGAAATATCAGTATGATAGATTCAATGTCCGATTGGGACCACTTTGATCCAACTAAGAAGGGAGGGAGTTCATTAATCAGACTGATGGCAGTTAACTGACTCACTCGTTTTCAGCTATCGGACTATATAGTTAAAATTTTAAATACATGACAGACGAATAACCAAAACAAAATAGCCAAATAAAAAAAAAAACAGATATTATTTCATATCAAGGTGAAGGATGCCTTGAGGGGCATTGGGGATGACAGTTTATTGGAAGTTGATTATTGGGAAGACTGGGATATGCCGACTTAATCCTACATGCAAGTGTTCAATATCTAAGACTCTAATCATAAACAAAGTGAAGTATACTGCATTATTTAGGTTAATACATCAAGAGCTAAAACTAAGGTGCCTGGTTAAGACAGCTGCTGTGAACTCTTGGGGAAGTTTTCTTTTCCCTTCAGTTTAACTTTTGATATGTTTGGATTAGCTTCACTCAAAAGTAGATAAAATATTAGTGGAGGAAATTCCTATTGAATTTGTAGATAATGACCGGGTAGTAGCTGTGAGGTGGGTTCTAAGAAATGTGTGGTCAAAGTTAAAGTTTGACCAACTTAAATTATAAGTTAAGCCAATCCAAACATGCTATTTGAATGTCAATTAACATAAGCATTGCAATCATGAAAATGGAAGTGAAGTTCGATTTCCAAAGTAGTAGGCATCAGTCTATCAAATAATAAGTGACAAAAGAGCTGCAATGGAAAAACTAACAAAATCAAAAACATGAAGTATGCCAAATTTGTTCCTAAACTCTTTAAATTAATCACTCAACACTGCATTAAGATTAACTTCAAGGACTACCTTAACATAGAGATAGAGGTAAACCAGAATTTGAGACCTTCACATGTTATCTCATCAATTGCAGCTATGACAATAAAAGTGTAATGCAAACAAGACAAAGTAAAACTCATGAAGTATTTAGGGAATACTCACCTGTCCATACAATCCCCAGCCGAAGGTTAAAAGTGCACCAGCATCTGTTCTCAACAAAAATAACATGGGAAGATCCATGTTGATATATTGAACATTTAGCAATAAAGTAAGAGATTTCTCAGAAGTACACAACATAATTAAACGGATAGCAGATGGAAACAGAAAGAGATCATGAAGCATAAGTAGTCTTATTGACTGCAACACTCAAGATGATTAGTATTAATTATATTGGCTTGTCAAAGTAGTGTAAAATTCAGAGCATTAGACATCTGACAAGAAAGGATGAACTACCGGTAATTACTGCACTGTGTCTTCCACCACATGCAATTCCTTTAATATAATTTCCAGGAACTCTATAACCTTGACCCTCTGAACCCCTGCTCCCGCGAGAAAGGGTCATAGAGCGATCTCTGGCGAAAGAGGAATCAATGCATGGTACAGGATGTGGAGAGGACACCATTCGGATACGAGAACCCAATCCCAGCTGCCCTTCACCTCCATATCCCCAGCCCCACACCTGTCCTATATCTGAAACTTCGGAGAAAAGACAAGATATCTATCCTGCTTTTGAGATCTTGAAGTAGCACATTGCAATAGAAAAAGGTAACAAATTACTTACCTGACAATGCAAGTGTATGCCGACCGCCAGCAGCAACAGTGGCAATCCTTACTCCGGGGTTAAGTGTTACCAAACATGGCAATGCTGAAAGAGTTTCATCACCTGATGATGAGCTTTCAGCTGACTGCTTAGCTGGTGATACCCTTCTCCTCTTTGTAGTCTCGTCCCCGCCTCTACTGTCACTACCAGAGACTGTCCCACCACTGGATCTTGATCCCTGGGAACGAGGGCTCGCTGAAACAGTCACTCTTCAACATATTAGTCTGCATAATTTACATACAAGACTTTGTACATCACTTACACATAGGCCCGGTAGCGTATACCTTGCTCAGTCGACAAACTCTGTTTCTCAAATACATCCTTCTCTATGCTTAACCCAGTTGGTGGGCTACCAAATACCTTTCCAGAGGGAACACACTCTTTCCATCCCCAAGTGTAAACTTCCCCACTCTCTGCATTTGACAATTGAACTCGAATTAGTTCAACAATGTAGCCAGAAACATATGCACAAGAAGCAGCAGTAAAGCATTCATCTTTTCTTGGGGCTTCTATATTGGAATCTCAAAGGAAAGGGCATCAATTTCCGTTCTTTGAGTAGAAATCCAAATTTTTACTAGAATATTTCTTGGCATTTGATGATCTGTCCAAGAATGGAAATGTTATACAAGAAATTACACAAAATGTAATGTGTGCCAACAAAATAATGTCATGTTTAACTTGCTTAAAAACTAGAACTTGAAGCCGATGAAATTAACGATCACTACGAGGTCCGTCAGCTGATTAAAGAGAAGAGTAGAGGTTAAATAAATCTCTGTTAGTGTTCTTTTTCTGAAGTGGAGATGTGGATTTAATTTTTATTGAGGCAGTGAAAATCAGATCAGCAATACCTGTTACAGCAACACAGTGAGCCCAACTGGCAGCAGCTTTCACTATTGGAGTCTCCGTAGGAAGTGAAAAAGGCTCTGGCATTTCCTTAACAAAATCAATGGAAAAAGCAGGTCATAAAGAAAGAAATCGAAGACCAACTGGATAAATCAGAATATCATGTCACACTGCACTACCCCATGTTTCCCAGATGTCACGTAGCTTTGACCTAAATCATCTGTTGAACCCCAAGTAATGAGCTTTCCAGAGTCTGCCAATAGCAACTTAGAAAATTATGAGAGCTATATAGTCTCAAACTTCAAATGCAATGAAATTCAAATGTGAAACACTAAATCAGCCTTCAAAAGAAGTCTAGACAGTACATAAATCACCCAACTTTTTGCATTTTTCATCCAGAAACTACATAAAATTCCAAAAGTCCAAGTCCAACTACTTTCCATTTCAAGAACCAAAAGGAATACTTTGAGAACGTCGTTTCAAATTTGAATAAGAGTACATTTTGATAAAGGAACTTCTTTTGTTGAAAGTTAAACCTTGAAAGCTACATTTGCAAAAGTTTGCCATATCTTAAAGAAAATTCAATTGTGCTAGAGAAGACCAAAAATACGTCAACTTTGAATATAAGAAAACAGAGAAGAATTAAAGCACAGATTTTGAAGTGCCAATCTAGGGTTCTTCACAATGTCTCAATTGACAAGCAACTGGAGGCGAAAAGTCCAAGCAGAGTATAAAGACAGAAGATTTGAAGTAACAGAAGTTAAAATTTGAATAAAAGACTTTACATGCTCCTCGGAGCTATTGACTGTTCAAGGAAACTTCAAGAAAGAATAGTCAAGCAAAAACATCATTTTATTTTGAAGCAAAACTTCACTTCAATGCTGCAGTAATAATGTAAACAGTCAACTAAAAAAATTGTCTTTCGGATTCAAGGCTGAGTATAAAGAAGTACTCCAAATCAAACCAAGTAATATACGATCTGGGAAAGGGGAAAGAGAAAAATAGAAAAAGAAATTACCTGAAATGGCCATGGCAAAACCACAACCACCACCACAGACATCCTTCCAGGAAGTTCCGGCGATACTCGAAGGTGGTAGTCGCACTACCACTGGGGACAGTAGCGGCGACCTCTGAGGCAATGCCCCTGGCAAATATCCCCACATGAATACCAATTTCTCCATTTTCACACCTTCATCAAATCCTTCCCCATCCCCATTCATTCCTGTAAATTTCCCCCAAAAAATTCAAAAATATCAAAATTAATTCCTTCAATAATTTTCTTTTCAACTTTTTCCGCAAGATTTCTATTCGATAAAGACTTGAAATCGCTCAAGAGTGAGTTTTTTCTTTGCACGGAAAGTGCCCTAAAAGAAGGCGCATCAATTTCAAGCGAATGATGGTGCCACGTCTGATGCTCACGTGACGCACTTACACGTGGCGAATTATAGTTCGGTAGAGGCTTAGGGCAATTTTTAGCCAGGAGTTCCCCGAAGTTTCTGGAAGGTAAAGAATTTCCCTTCCAACTCCACCCATGCCTAATGATTGCCACGTGTCCTAATACCCCCGTTTCCAATCATTACTATTTCACGTGTCATCACGCGTGTTGTGCATTGCCTTTTCACATTCCGATGATTTAAAACGGAGGAAAAGTTGAATAATTTCTCTGGAAACGAAAGACGTGTCGTGTCACTCTGAGAAACACGATTTTATTTGAGGATGGATACCAACGATGTAGTTCCTAAAAAAAATTTATTTTTTAAACACGATTGGATTGTCATATGTTATTGCATATAATTATATGATTGAGAGTGGGAATCGCGCCAAGAAATTGTTTAGTTTAGTTTTGTAAATAGATCGGGATTTATAATTTTTATCAACTTTTTAATTTCATATTTTACCAATTTTTATAAAATTTTATTAAAAATATAATTTTTCTGCACTCAAACACGGGCAAAATAGAACTCAAAAGTTGTTGAAAAATTGAAGAAAATTAATGTTAAAACAACGTTTATTGTTAGGTCACATATAATTCCGTACATTAACCAGAATTGTACTCTTAAGTTGGGCTAAAATTTTGAATTAAAGCCCTGTTTGAACCAAATTATTGTAAAATGAGATTCTAAAATATAGTCGTTATTGAAGAAAATTAATGCTAAAACAACGTTTATTGTTAGGTCACATATAATTCCGTACATTAACCAGAATTGTACTCTTAAGTTGGGCTAAAATTTAGAATTAAGGCTCTGTTTGAGTCAAATTATTGTAGAATGAAAATGAAAAATATAGTCGTTATTGAAGCCCACATAAGAAATAGAAAATGTGAAATTTAAATGTTAATGTGATGGATAACGATCATATTTTTCAAATTAATGAGATAAAAAAGTGGTCCAAACGGGGGCATAATCACATTAATATGCGAAGAAATAAAGAAAACAAGAGAAGACACAGGATTTGTTCTTGAGGTTGGAGATAAAACTCCTATGTCACCATGTGCTTCCACCAATGGAAAAAATGTTCACGACATTTATACTTAGCTCATGTTTGATGGGGAATAAAATTAGATTTTTAATAGATTTTGATAAAAGTNTTCAACCGTTTCATTCTCAATTGATAAAATAGTCAATTCAATCAATCTTTCATGTAACATAGTTAATCATAAAGAAATTTTAATCAACTTCAACTTGCATGAACTTCTTTCTACATGCGTAAGAATAACTGGTATGGTTTGCAAATTTTTGTAGCCAATACATGCAATTAAGAAACAACCATCCGATGTCGTCAAATATTGAACATCAATTACTCTCTTTGTTGTGTAAATATCAAATTTTCTCCGCAAATCTCGAGTTGTTCACCTGCTTAACTTCAAACGCCATAACTTTTGAACCACAACTTTAAATGCTCTTAACTTCAAGATTTAAATTAAGAATTACTTGAGAATTTTCACATTTCCTTTTCTCCACTCGTTCTAATTTTTTGTGCTAAAAATATCAATTCATGTGACAAAACTCACATTTTTGACTTTTGCTTCTCTTTTTTCGATCGAAAAATTTATTTTTTTCTAAATTCGCATAAATATTCTGATCTTAAAAATTTATGTTCCATAACAGAAACAATAATAAAATACAGATTCAAAGAAAAAATTATTACAAAAAAATCATAATCATATGGGGAAAAAGCCTCATAAACTTGAGCCTTCGCACGAGTAAAACTGAAAACATGGACTCATAGCAGCTCTGCCCATAGAGATCTTGGAGACCGTCTCAACATTTGGGCGAGGGGGTGGAGTGCGGTGGGAATGTATATCCAAATTCATTTTTGAAAGGGGTAGGGTGGAGTGGATTTACACGATTTTTGAAGGGAAAAAAATCCTAGCTTATTAATGAAATTAAAACTTAAAAAGTAGGGTTTGAGGTAATTTCTCTTTAGAAAAAAAAATTCTAAATTTACGAGCCCCTATGATATTGGGCTTGACTCGAAGGCCTCACTTACCGTGCCTCGGGTCTAGTCCTGCAGTAAACTTTATGGTTCCGCCATATGAACAAAATATTAAACATGAGCAAAGTATGTTTCACAATACACGTATCTTCAATGGTGGTTTAAAATTATAATATGTAAATTGACATCTCTAAAATCATTTTTGCATCTCTCCTTACATTCTGGTGCATCAAAATTCAAATTCCGCTCCAATAGAAAGATATAAAAAAATTTGGTGCTAGTGGAATTTACTTAATCATGCACGGCGGAAATAAAATAATTTTCAATTCCCACCAATGATCTGCAATGTGTTTAGATAGAAATTGTGATTAGAATTATACTTTTGATGAATTCTGTAAAACCCTTTGCTGATTCACGAACTCCAATGATCACGATCTGCATTCCAAGCTGTCCAATTGTTCAGCCTCCAATGGTGATCCACACAGAGAACAAGAATGGTGGCTAGGGTTTCTTTTCTTGTGCTAGCAAGAATAATGAAATTCTCTACTGTTTTTCAAACCCTAACAGCTTATTAATATAAGTCCAGATGGGCTCGGCCCATCTATTAAACTTAACCCGGTCCAATATTTAATTAATCAAATTAATTAAATCTGGTCCATGAATTAATTAATCCAATTAATTAATTCGGGCCTATTAATAAACAACCCAATTAATTAATTATCCAACACTTGTCAATTAATTAATTGGTAAATCTCATTCTTCTGATTCTCTTTTGTGTGTGACCCATTAGGTTCCCGATCACGATGCCGAACGACGTGAATTATTATTTTGATCTAATCAAAATCAATAAATTAAAACGCCCCTTTTAATTTATCACTAATTCATTTTCGTTGTCCCAGATTGACATCTAGCAATGTATCAGGGCAATACATGTGACGGGAAATATCACGTAGCATGACAAAACCAAACTTGTTCGTTTACCGTGAAACTATAATCCTTTCGTCAATATGATCCGATCAATTATGAGATATGGATATGTGTCAATCTCAATTATCGATCATATCTTTTATCCCACTGTTAAGTCAATGTACGTCGAAAACTCTTTTCCGACTTATGAGTTCACCTTGGCCAAGGATTTCATTATCAACTTAACTGGATAAAATGTAGATCATAATCTCTTACTATCTAAGAGTGACGAATCCTCTATTGATCATTCACAACCTTCATATGATTCTTGACATACCCGAACGATGCTGTATTAGCGACCCTTGACAGAGCAACATCCAACATCACCAAAGTATGACTGCCCTCATATAAGGTACTATGATGACCTCAAGTCAAAGGACCAATTCCACTACCGAACGTTAGAGATTAACCACTAACACTTAGATAGTTATCCATGTGGAATCTCTCAGCGGGTCTCCAATGTTTTGTTCTATAACAAAGCATCCACGTGTTCATTCAAGTGTCACCACACTTTAGCTTGTGAGATCAGCTACTTACTTCACAAGTAAGAATGCCACACGCGATGGTCTATCCGTAATAACGATATCCGTAATAACGATATCCGTGTCTCGTTATCACTTCGACCATGGATAATTTAAGATTCAGTCATATTGTAATTTGTATCTCACAATCACAACTCCTTGTGATTAACAAATTGAAAAGACTTAAATCTACGGATTCTATTATTTAATATAATTTCAATAGAAAAGCAATATAAATAAATAATAGATCTTGTCATAATTAAATACATTAAACATATGAAAAGTGTTTATAACCTAAATCGATTGGGTTTAGGGCATAACACTTACAAACTCCCACTTGCACTAGATCCAATCACTTATGTATCTAATATCATAAGAGTCTACATGACGATCATATTTATACTGCGACAACGGCTTTGTCAATGGATCTGCAATATTATCATCTGTGGGAACTCGCTCTATCTTTACGTTATTTCTTTGTACAGTCTCCCTAATGAGATGGTACCGCCTCAGCACATGCTTGGACCGTTGGTGAGACCTTGTTTCCTTCGCTTGCGCGATGACTCCATTGTTATCAGTTACAATCTAGTTGCTCCAAATAGTTAAAACATTTGTCGTTCTACATTATTGAGCTAAAGACTTTGCCTTTTAATGTTGCATAATTAACCCTTTTCTTTTGTAAGCATATTCGTATCATTCACTCTAAGATAAATTAAATTTGTTAATGTCATAATGAAATATTGTGAGGCTTTTGTCACGATTATACTTTTTAAAAACTTCATGTGACCATTTGGAGTCGAATCGTGCCACCAAATTCTTTCTTTCCAGAGGCCGAGCTCCTTAATTAATTACTATTTATCTTCCACAATTTGACATTAGTAGTTCTCACACTGGACATCTTGTTCTTGTCGATTTGATAGAATTTTTTAACTATTGTACATTCTTTCTCAGAAGTGCACTCTCATTCTTGTACTGCAATCATGCTTGGTGTACAATCATAGATGATAATTTTGTTGACAACATGCCACGTGACAAACTGTCATTGGACAGTTTGAAAAAAAAAATCTATTCTTAACAAAATCTATTTGAAAAAAGTTATTTGACGAGTAAATATATATCTTCAATAATAATGTTTCCAGTTATCAAATTATTGAAAAACATCAAATAATATCGACTTCCTCCACAATCATTTGATGGGGTCAAAAATTGTAAGGTTATTAAACAAAAATAATAATTGCGATTGATCGTCTGCCTCGCATTGTATTGGAAGAGTGAAATAGTCTCGTAGAATGGGCCCA